GAGCCAACTTCCAAGGGAAGTGGTGCTCACTCCTACCCTGGGGGTCTTCAAAAGGAGGCGAGACAATCAGCTAGCCAGGAGCATTTGACCCCAGTACTCTTTCCTGTCTGTGGCAGGGGGTTGGACTTGATCTGCTCAGGTCCCTTCCGACCCTACTGACTATGAAACTATGAAATGAGAGAGAGAAGCTTATGTAAATGCTAAGGTTATCCAGTCTTCTTCATCCTGTTCATTCCTGCTTGGGAGCAGAAGCTTGCTACAGCCCAATAGTATTAGTGCTAATGTACACCCAGTTTTTAAACTATTCTAAAATTTTATTTTAGTTAAAATTATGTCTGCCTGTACTGATAAAAGCATGGCATCTTTGAACAAATATAACTCTATCCATATTAGGGTTTTTAACGCTTTAACTATGTCTGTTTCTAAATCTGTATAGTTATAACTATGAATGCAAACAAAGGAGACATTTAGCAAAAAGAACTGAGTAATGCTTTAGCTCTATAGGTGGGGAATAAATGGAGAGAAAAGCTGTAGGTATAGACTGTGAAAATGAAGATTGTAAAAGAAAATGAAGACAGTATATGATAAAGATCGAGTCAATTATTGAAGAAATATAGATACATAATCTATAGGTAGATTGACCTATATGATCAAATAAAGATGAATATTTTACAGCAAAATAAACTCATATTTCAAAGCATATTTTTATTCCTTTTTTGAATTTATTTTTATTTTGCTTACCACCTAGATCCTGTGTTTAATTTAATTTTTTTTTACTTTGCTGAATTTCTATAAACTTATATATATGAAAGGGGAGAGAGGAAGCCCTTGTTATCATTTTAATTTATCTTTTTACTCAAGAAATATGATTATTCAGGCAGTTTTCTGTGGGTTTGGCATGTTCACTCCAGCAAAAACAAGAACCTCATGTCACCAAAGCTACACACTGTGCACGCTGCTAGATTTCCTGAAAAGATGCTGAGTTGGCATACTGGACCTGGTAGTTAAAAAGGGCTTAGCTTTCTTTATACGGATTTATGGTTTAAACATCCTCAGGATTACCTTTGAAAGTCATGGTTTAAATTTCTAGTGCCCTGGTTCAGCAAGTTGCTTATACATATCTCTAACTTCAAACATATGAGTAGGTTTCTTGAAGTCTATAAGATCGCTCATTTGCTTAGTACTACATATGTGCTTAAGTGCTTTGATGAATCAAGGCTTTAATTAATCAGTCTTAAGCTGATGCTTAATTAGAGCACTGAATAGGGGTGAACTTAATCATGGGCTTAAGTGCTTACCAAATCATTGCTTTAATCAGGCATGACTGGTTGATATTAATACACACACAAACAGACACATACATAGTTTCATAGTTTCATAGATTTAGGGTCGGAAGGGACCTAATAGATCTTCTAGCCTGACCCCCTGCCAGGGCGGGAGAACAACAAAACCCGAAAACAAGAAACAGGACTCAAATGAGATATAGATATCTATATCTATATAGATATATTATATATATCTATATAGACATATAGATATATCTACATTTGGCTAATAACTCCTGAAAGCACAATTAAATGGTGGAAAGTTGTTAAATTAATGATCTAAGCAAACTCTACATGATCTAAGCAAACTCTACAAGGATTAATTTTTATCTAATCAAAATGAGCTGGTGCTAACTTTTAAAACTAGATGTGGAATATTGAAAAGTAATAACAAATTAATAAACACTTCTGTGTTCGTTATTTCTTCAAATAAAAAAAATTACCCTTTTATCAGAAGAATGGTCAGTTGTGGAGAGAAATATTATTTTTAATGCTGTCCCCTTCTCAAATGTTCATTCAAAGAGGAAAAATAAAACCCCTTAATATATACCTCTTTTTGGGTTTTGACCATCAAAATCCTTCTCAGGTAATAATAGAGTTGCAGTTATGCATATGCTCTATTAATGTTATGGAGCAAATTTCTGAACCCCACATTCAAAACAGAAATATTACAGTTCCTTTCTTTGATAATCCTTTAATAAGAAAAGTCAAGTAATCATTTCCCCCCTCTGGTAAAAAAACCTTTCCACCCTGAATGCCAATCAAAATCCACATAGGTCAATATCAGATCATTTCTGCATTCTGCCTGTCAGCTAGGGAAAACTATGTTTCTACTGTAACAAACCCCGCAACCCCAGGAACTGGCACAGGAAGCCAAAAAGGAAGGTTCCCCATGTTATACCAAACATGCTAGGGATTAAAGTCACAAGCCAGGGGGCCAGGGAAAAATAAACGAAGAGAGTAGATAAATGTTGGCTGCATCTGGACGTGCAATTAATGAGATGCAATGAACTCTAGAGCAGTTCAAGACAGAGTAAACTCCCAGGTGCAGCGTCTACAAGTGTCCAGGACAGCAGCAATCTGACCTGGGGCAGAGCAGGCCCATGGCTGGCTGGGATGACTAGGCATTATTTATACCCATGGTCAGTGTCTACATGTGCATTTCAGCACAGTAAATTAGTCCACCGTAAGATAGTACTGTTCTAGACAGTATTATCTTATGGTGGAGTTAATTAATTTACTGTCCCCTAATAGTGGCACATATGTAGATGGTGACACTTTACTGCGGAGCTAATTAGTCTACTCTGCAGTACAGTGCACCTGTTATCATTAAAGTACATACATGTAGAAGCTCCTATGTTGGGCTTTAAACTAGCTCAGACAAGGGGATAGGGAGGCAGAAGAAGGAGAACATCAGGAACCTGAAATCCATGGGACATCCAGCAGTACAGCACAGATAAGCAATAAGAGGTAAGCAATAAGGGACCCACTGGGCATCAGAACTGGGGGGCAACAAGGGCACCAGTCACAGGGCTCAAGTGCCTATACACTAATGCTAGCGGTATGGGGAACAAGCAGGATGAACCAGCGCTCCTGCTTGCAGAAAACACTTACGACTTAAGTGGGGTTAACAGAAACCTGGTGGGACTCTACCCACAACTGGGTGGTACACATTAAGGGCTATAAGCTGTACAGAAAGGATAGAGTAGGGAGGCAAGGGGGAGGGGTTGCACTCTATGTCGAGGAGC